CCTGCAAAGCCATGGGGGCTCTAAAAGATCCGAACCAGCAGAAGCTGCCCAGGCACACACACACACACACACACACACACAAGTTATTTTCCTTTAACAGAGGCAGTAGCAGAGTTTTTGGTATCCTAGTCCTGTTTACAACATTCAGGTGCCATCCCATCCCATGCAGAACAAAAGCCAAAGCCTGAGAGCTGCCAGAGCGGCGAGCCCTGGCCAGTCACACCCCACTCCACAGCGCAGTTTGTGCATTTGTGTATTCACAACTTTCTCCATAAGTTGCTTGGAGCTGTGCAGGATGAACAGAGGATATGAAATGTGGGATTGAGTTTGGACAAGCACCTGCCTATTCCTTGAAGTAGAAATAAGTAACACAATCCAACCCTTTCCCCTGGATTCTCAAGGGGGACATTTCAAGGGTCAGGCTCTAGTGGACAATTTGAAAACCAAAACTTCTGAATCAGACTATACTGGGATGAAAAAACAGTGTGCCTTAAGTTGCACAGGTTGGAATTATTTTGGGAAGGGACTGCCTTCCTCTGTGCAAAGTGCAAGAAGGGTTGTGTCCTGAGACCACAGATCATTTTCATTTATCTAATCCTGCATTATTATATGGATCTAAGTCACCAGTAATACTTTTAATCTCTTCTGTGTTTATTTATTTTTTTTCCCTGCAATACTTAGCAGATTTTGCAACTTTTAGTATTTTGTAAGGTAGATCATAAATTTCATAAAAGCTGTTAGGAAATTTTTTGCGGCTCTGCATTTGTGTGGAGGCACAATTTGAGGATTAAATATGTATTAAAGGGTGAACATGTTTGTAGGGCACAGATGTCTGATCCAAGTGGCCGTTTCCAGCCCATATTCTTGGCTGGAATATATTTCAGACCTTCAGCTCTACTGGGACAGGTATCCAAAACCGTGGAGCCAGTTGAGTCCAATTCAGCACTGGGGTAAACCTCCTCTGGCTTCAGCTGAAGTTATAAATCCAGAGATTAATTTACCCTTTTTCCATTGCAAGCCAGGACTGGAAATGTCATGAAAACAGATGTAACAATTCCATCCAGACATTCCTATTACCTTTCCTATTCTATCCCAACTATCAATAAATTGTATTGTAAGATGTTTGGGGTTTTGGTTTTTTGTTTGTTTGGTTGGTTTGGTTTGGTTTTGGTTGGTTTTATTTTTATTTTTTATTTTTATTTTTACTGTTTCCTACAAAGAAAGGATAGAAGGAAATAGTTCAGAAGCCACCAAAGAAACCTTACAAAACGAGCCAAACTTTGCCAGGGCCAATTTTCTCTGCAGAAGCATTTAAGACTGAAATATTCAGCCACTGGCAAAGTACATTTTCACAATGAGGACTGGAAGGGAATAGTGTAAAGACTTGCACGAGGAGGAGCTGTGCCTTGCCCACCCGGCCCCGGCGCTGCTGCGGGAGGGGCGGCGGGCAGGGCTGGATTCCAGCGCTCCCTGCATCCCGCAGCACCGCGATGGAGCAGTGACACCCAGCGAGCGGCTCCTGCCATGGCTGCGGGACTGCGGGACGCGCCTGCCGCGGGGCTTCTGCCGGGGCTCCTCACCGGAGCTCCGCCGGGACAGCAACGCGGCTGCGGGCTGGGGAGAGCGGCTCGGGCCGGGCACAGCTGAGAGACCCCGGACCGGGCACAGCTGAGAGACCCCGGACCGGGCACAGCTGAGAGACCCTGGCCCGGGCACACCTGAGAGACCCCGGACCTGGCACAGCTGAGAGACCCGGACCAGGCACACCTGAGAGACCCGGGCCCGGGCACACCTGAGAGACCCCGGACCTGGCACAGCTGAGAGACCCGGACCAGGCACACCTGAGAGACCCGGGCCGGGCACACCTGAGAGACCCCGGACCGGGCACACCTGAGAGACCCGGGCCGGGCACAGCTGAGAGATCCCGGACCGGGCACAGCTGAGAGACCCTGGCCCGGGCACACCTGAGAGACCCTGGCCCGGGCACACCTGAGAGACCCCGGACCGGGCACACCTGAGGGACCCCGGACCGGGCACACCTGAGAGACCCCGGCCCGGGCACACCTGAGGGACCCCGGACCGGGCACACCTGAGGGACCCCGGACCGGGCACACCTGAGGGACCCGGGCCCGTGCATACCTGAGGAACCCGGGCCTGTGCACACCTGAGAGAACCCGGCCCGTGCACACCTGAGGGACCCCGGACCGGGCACACCTGAGGGACCCCGGACCGGGCACACCCGAGAAACCCTGGCCCGGGCACACCTGAGGGACCCCGGACCGGGCACACCTGAGGGACCCGGGCCTGTGCACACCTGAGGGACCCGGGCCCGTACACACCTGAGGGACCCGGGCCCGTACACACCTGAGGGACCCGGGACCGTGCACACCTGAGGCACCCGGGCTCGCGCCCACCTGAGGGGCCCAGACCACGCACAAGTGAGAAACCCCAGACCGCACACACCTGAGGGACCGGGCTCGCGCACAGCTGATGGACCCCAGCCTGCACACACCTGTGTAACCCCCGTCCGCACACACCTGATGGACCCGGGACCGCACGCACCTGAGGGACCCGGGGCAGCGCACACCTGAGGGGCCCGGGCTCGCGCACATCTGATGGACCCTGGCTCGCGCACACTTGTGTAACCCCCGTCCGCACACACCTTATGGACCCCAGCACGCACACACCTGTGTAACCCCCCAGTCCTCACACACACTTGAGGGCCCCCTCCAGCTCTCACACACACTTGAGGGCCCCCCCCAGCTCTCACACACACCTGAGGTACCACGGGACTGACGCGGCTCGCTGATCCCCGGCCCGGCATTGAGTCCCAGCCCGGTCTCTGGTGTCGCATCTCCTTGTCGTCACTCTCATCTCTGCTCACCTGCCCCCTGGCAGGTCTGTCCCAGCGGAATGCCTCTGCCCGGCTGTCCCCGCTGCCGAGGGACGCTGCCCGGCTGTCCCCTCTGTCCCGCTGTCCCCGCTGCCGAGTGACGCTGCCCGGCTGTCCCCGCTGTCCCCTCTGTCCCGCTGTCCCCGCTGCCCGGCTCCTGTCCCGCTCCCCACGCGGACACTGAGGCCACACGGGCCCCTCACAGCTGCTGCCGCTCCCACCCTGATCAGGCAGCAAAGGGCGCAGCTGACCAGGCTGACCAACCCTGAACATCCCAGCGTCCCCTCCAGGACTGGGTACCTGAACCTTGCGGGCACAAGGTGCCAAGGAGATAAAGCTTTCATGCTGGAGCATATCCACAAAGCTGGGGAAGGGTCTGGAGTGTTCTGTGAGGGGACGGAGGGAGCTGGGAAGGGGCTGAACCTGGAGCAAAGGAGGCTCAGGGGGAATTTCTGGCTCGGCACAGCTCCTGCCAGGAGGGGACAGCCCCACGTCGGGCTCTGCTCCAGGGAACAGGGACAGGAGCAGAGGGAACGGCCTCAGGCTGGGCTAGGGCAGCTCAGGGTGGGCACAGCAGGAATTTCCCCATGGAAAGGGGGCTCAGGAACTGGAACTGCCCAGGGAGGGCTGGGGTGCCCATCCCTGGAGGTGTCCAGGGAATTCCTGGAGGTGGCACTCAGAGCTCTTGGCTGGGGACAAGGTGGGGATGGGCACAGCTTACATTTGATGGTCTTGGAGGGATTTTCCAACCCAAATGATTCTAGGATTTGGCATAAATTGGTATCTGCATATTGTGAGGGTCTCAGTTTTCTAGCCCTGGATATCGTTGCATGTAAAAGGAAAGCCAGAATTCTGTAGCACATCCATCAATTTTCTGTGCTTCACCAAAGCAAGAGTCACAATGTGTGCCACTCTGCAAATTGCTTCTTACTTCTTTTATATGGGCATGTACAGATAAAAGCAAATATTTATGAAGTAGTCTATCCACTCAAAAATTTCCAGTTATTTAGTAAAATAATTTCTTGAACCAGACTGACATATTTAAACTGTTACTTGTCACACATCTTGCCATTGTGATGGACAGAGATTTATGAAGAAATGTAAGATACACTGATTTTCTAGTTTACTTTGTGAAATCTTCAACCAAATATCAATTTGTTTGGGATATATGACTTGGAGTATCTATGTCTGTATGGTTGGAATACCTGGATTTCAAATTCAGCACTGTGGATGAGGGCTTTCTGAGATGTGTAGGCTACAACTGCATTTGGAAATGAATGGCCTTATGGAAAAGCTGAGGTAGACTGACAGGTTTGCCTCCTCGGACAGGACTGTAACACCTGGGTAGCAATGGCCATTTCGGAGCAGGAATGCAAGCGCCGAGAACAGATGATCCAATACCATGCGGAGCTTGTCGATTTCCTTACATCAAAGGGTATGGGGAACCTGACACGACTGATTTCATTCTGCAGGCCGTGTAAGAGCGGAAAGCCTCTCCATCTTCTGTCTGCAGCAAGAGAGCATGAATGTCCTGCCGGCGGCTGAGCGAGCCGCGGACCCGCATCCCAGCCCTGCGCGCTGCCGGACTCGGCCCTGCGGCCCCTCGGCCGGTGCCCTCGGTGCCCGTCCCGCTCCGCCCCGCCCGCAGGAGCACGCCAGGCCCGCGGGCCGCGCTGCGGCGGCAGCACATGAATGACCCGAGCCGACCCGAGCCGCTCCTGGCGGCCGGGACAGCCCGGCCCGGGGGCAGAATGGCCCCGCTCCGCCGCGTCCTCGCCATCGCCGCCGCCCTGCGGCCCCTCCGCCGGGCCGAGGCCGCCGTTCCCGGGGCCGGCCCGGGGCCGCGGGGGCTGAGGGGCCCCCCGGGCCCGCCCCGCTCGCAGCCGGCGGCGGCCGCGGGCTCTCGGGCTCGGCGGCGGCCCGGGCGGAGCGCGCGGCCCCCGGCGCGGCCCCCGCAGCCCCCCGGGCCTCGGGGCGGGCCCGGCCCCGCTCCCGCCGCCCCGGACGTCGCGTCGCCGGGGCGGGTGCGCAGTTCCGGCGGCAGCGGGAGGGCGGGGGCCGGGCAGAGCCGCCGCGGCCTCGGCAGCAGCTGCAGCCGGAGCGGCGCGGGGGGCCAGGCCCCCGCCATGGAGATCGAGAAGGAGTTCCAGCGGCTGGACCAGGCCGCCAGCTGGCCCGCCATCTACCAGGTGAGGGGCGGCGCCCGCCGGCTCTGCCCGGCCCGGCCCGGCCCGGCCGGCAGCGCTCCCTCCGTCCCTCCATCCCGCTGCCCGCGATGCCGCCGCCGCTGCCCCGGCCCCGAGGCCAGCCCTGCCCTGCCCTGCCTTGCCCGGACACCGCCGCCCCCGCTCCCCGCTCGTTCCCCGCTTCAGGGGGCGCCGGCAGCTGCCCCGCTCCCCGGGCGGGTCCCGGCGGGGCAGCCCCGCTCGGCGCTGCCCGCCCGGAGCCGGAGCAGCTGCCGCGGGCACATCCTCAGCCCTGGAGCCCCGCGGGGACATCGGCCCGCAGCGCTGCTCGAGCTGCCCCTCCCGAGCCGGGGCAGCCGATCCGCCGGATTTGTCTTTGGGTTAGAACGGAGGAGCCGCGAAGGGGGCATCAAATGCGTTTGGCTTTTCAGTCACCTTAATCATAGAACAGAGCCTGAAGCAGCGTATTAGCAATACTTGTGCAGCTAGCTGGTACTGGGTTTTTATTGTGTCGTTTACTGCATTTAGATTTTTTTTCTTTGTGATATTTAAAACAACCCTGTTGCAAACGTGAATGCTTGCAACAGTATTTGCTTCTGGATCCAGCTTCACGTACAAGCCACAGAAGTTAGTGCTTTTATCTTTAAAAGTTCTTCACACCTTTATCTAAAATGAAGTTTAAGAGAAGCTGAAATACATGAATGACTGGGCGGATGTGTTCAGTCAGATCAGGCAGCGTTGCTGTAACATCCATTTGAATGTTTAAGCTGGTATATTGCATAAATGAATGACTCGAAGTTCACGTTTGCAGCACAGACGTTGAGCTTCGCTTCTTTCAGTGTGAATTTCTCTGGCAATAGACCACTGAGAGACGGAGGTGTGTAAAAGTGAAATAAACGGACTTCAGTTTCAGAATCGCAGCAGGCAAGTTTTAACATCAGTAGCTTGCAGGGTGAACATCTCCAGTTGTCTGGCATTTAGAGAATAAGCATGACATGTTGAGCCTGCTTTTCGGAAGGTCCATCTCCTACATTTCCCTTCCCTGCCGAGTGTCAGTGCATGCTGACTGTATCAGTTGAAAGTCATGTGGATATATGACGTTATGTTTTTGCTGAACTGTTCTGGATGATTTGGTGTGTTGCAGGCTTAGTGCTCAGGAAATGATTTTGAGTAATAGAGCTTTGTAATTGAAGTGGTACATTTCTACAGGTACAATTTAATTACAGAAGTGAAATATCTAAGTAGAATTAGAGAATGGCCCATTTTCAATGAGGGATCAGCATTCAGTGATATTTTAGTCCTGCTCTCTTTGAATGATATGACTCAGTGGCCTGCTCAAACTGTGGCACAGCATGAGCTTTGATTGAGGACTAAAATTCAATTTAAAAAAGGACTAAAGTGATTCTTTGATTTGCATCCAACTATTGACAAGCACAGGGGGTGGGTTTTTTACTTGGTTTTTCCCCCGATTGATTAGTAAATATGTGCATCTATGTCATGAGATTCTGTTTCTCAACTGCATCCTAGTTTTAAATAAGCTGTTGAAAATGGCATCTTGGCAGGTCATGTTCATCTGGAAGAACAAGGTACTTCTCTATAAGCTGTGCTTTTGGTGTCTGAGCTGTGACATTAACAAAGCAGTTTTCCCTCAACGCTGGTTTTTGCTGAAGAATGCAGTAAGTAGAGCAGTGCATGTGGTTGGTGCAGAAAAACATCTTCCCCCAGGGTAATTGTGCCATGGCTCCTGGTACCTCAGTGTTATGAGTGTAACTGCAGAAATGCAGAAATGTTCACCAGTGCTGCAGGTGAAGCATCCTGCAGCTGGCCCGTGTTCCTTGTCCCAGTCTGTTATCTCGAGATGCAGCCCAGCATCTCCAGGAGGAACCAGCAGCAGACAGGGAGGAGTGGCCACGGGAGATGTGTCTGGGTTCACATGACTTGCAAGGGTTAAAATTGTCCATGCTGCTTTTTTTTGGACAAGCGGAAGCCGTGTTCAGCTATGATAGTACAGCTGTGAAAGAATAGAATTTAGATTACCTTCTTTTTTCAGCAGAAGTAATCCCAGGATGGGGACACAAACATTTCAAAATGCAGACCTTGTTCAGGTGATTTTGTGATGATCGTGTCTTGGGCACTGCACAATATGGAACCATTCTCTGTACTGCTGGTCAGAACAGGGTGAGCAGTGATGAACTTCTTTGTGTTTTCTTGCTCTGGGGTTTCACTGAATGTTTATTTGGTTTTTAATACCTATTTCTATCCCTTACTTTCCTCTAGATTTACTTGTTACAAGAACTGTGAGCCATGAGATCCTGTGGAGGCTGTTCAGGGACCCAAGTGAGAAAAATAATTGCTAGGTTCTGGCTGTTGCTTGTATTTTAGAGAAACATAAGCATAAGAAAGGCACATGCAAATTAAAATCCTCTTCCATGAAACAGTGAGTTAGAGGAATGTGAGCTTTACCATGTGTGCTAACTGTGGTAAAGGTGTGCAACAGAAAACAAATGCTTAAGGGTAAGTGAATGATATGCACCCTGCAGAAATATCATTAGAAGTATCTGTTGGAATGGGAGGCATTCACTGTGGAGATGTCACAACAAAAACCCATACCCTAAAGCTAAGGAAAGCACAGTTTAGGCTTTTAAAGCAGGGAAGAAAAGTAAATATTTGTCCAGAATATCAAAACAACACTGGGTTGTCATTTGCTCACAGTGAGTGCAGTATCAGATTTTCATAGTAATTTTACATGCAGAAGTCTTTCAGAACTTTAGGAGGTATTTCAGTTTCTAACTTCTTACACAGGGTGATAGAATGAGATATTATCTTAAAAACACATCCCTCAAGTACAGGTAGAGTTGCTTCTTGTGTTTATATAAACCAGATATGTTGACTTTAGCATGTTGGCCAATGATATTAACATGGATGTGCTTCTCAGGAGCAGTAAAAATACCTCTGAATTATTTACTGATGTACCATTCAACTGGGGATTCCATTCACTATGGATGGAGGCAGAGCTGTCATTTGGGGACAGCTCATGCAGAGTTTTCCATGTGAAGGTAGCAAAATGAAACTAAAATGAGCATTATTTTCTAGATTTTATAGTTAGTGGAATTTATAATAAGAACTGGATACAGTTGAGATTTTCCAGCATGTTTGGAAGTGAGTATCCTGAAAACAGAACTACCTATCTCTGGAAAGCTGAAGTGTAGTTGGAGTTGGCTTTGAGGCCTGTAAATAACTGTTCTCAGTTTCTCTATTAATTTTTAAGGGTCTTTTAACCAAATATTAATGTGAACATTAGTTTTTCAAACCTCTCTAAGCTAAACTAAAATACTACAAATTATGAAAATTAATTAACTTCATTCAGATTGTGGGAGGAAGATAGAAAGATATCATGGACATTTTGGATATCCCTATGTCAAGACAGAAAAGGCATGGGAAGTTTTTTAGGTATTCACTGTCTCTGGAAAAATATTTGTAGAATATTTTCTTATGTAGGTGGATTTTGATGCTAAAAGTAAACTGTGAAATGGTTGACCCTGAAGAATTGTAACAGTGTGGCTGTGTTGTGTATTTAAAGTCAGTGGACAGGAAGCTCTACAAGGGTTGTTGGTTTATAAGCTGCAGCAGGAGTGCAGGCTGCAGTCTGAAAGCAGTTGGGTTACTCCTTTGCTTGGGTGCTAAGCAGCAGATAAATTGTGGCATGAACATGACTTCTCATAAATGCATCTTTGTGCTTTATTCTGCCAGTTCTAGCTGCAGGTCTCTGCATGCAGTGCCTTGCCACTGCTTAATTCGTGCTCTGTTGATTCATTTGAGGCTCAGCATAATTGGCTCTGGTTGTGGAAAGCTGGTTTTAGACTCAGGGTTGTAGGGAGTCTCTGTTCCTTCAAGAGCTGAAGATATTCCATGTTTTCCTGTGCTGTACACTGATCTTCCTGCACGTGGGCAGGGTTGGTGATGTGTGGCTCACAAAGTGAGGATCCCACCCTCCCGAAGAGCAGAGCTGCTGTTCAGCTGCAGGTGATGGCACCTCTGTGCCCCGGGGCTGGCTCAGGGCACTCTGCTGCCCGGGTTAGATTTTACTGCTGCCTCTCTCTTTCAGAGCAGCACCAGTCGTGTCTGCTGCTGGCAGATTTGAGATTGGGTAATATATAAAACATATATATATATATATATATAAAGCCACCTGAGCCACTTACTCTTCCTTTTTCTACAGAGTTTAAAATCTAAGTACTTGAACCCAGAGCTTCAGTGATAGTCTTGCTGGAAGCAGAGCATGGAAAAATGGAGCCTGTTGTGGTTATCATTTGCTAAAAATTTAGAAATTATACAATGTACACACAGTGCTCGCCTGCTTCTGAACATTTTTTGCAGGGTTTTATGGTGTTAGTGTGTTCTTGCACATGGTACTATTGCCTCCTCTGTGTGCTGGAAGCACGGATGTATGGAAGAAAACTGTTAAGGAGAAAGCAGTGTTGGCCACATGCCAAATGATGGTAAATTTCAAATAGAAATAGCCCTTGTAAGCAGAGAATAAAATGTGGTAGTGGTAGACCAAATATTTTTCAAACTAAAATAACTTTCTAAATGTGCTGGGTAGGTTTGAAATAGCAGTTCATCCTATAGTTAACTAAACATTAAAATTAAATGTTTCCCTTCCTAATACTTGCTTTGCAAATGGACTTTATCCAAAGGTTCTCTTTAGTTGAGTCTTCAAAAGATGTGGCTTCCACTGAAATACCACTGCTACTTTCTTGTAGACATGAGAATTACCAGGTTTTAGATCAGTGTCACTTGCATGACCTAAGTATCTGTTTGGGCTGTGAATTTAGCCTCATTAAATACCTGAGGATACTCAGTGCTTCCTTACCCAGTGATTGCTTCTCTGCAGTGTTCACAATGAACACAGACTTGGTCAGATCCCTGAGCTGGGCTGTTTGCAGTGCTTACCACTGAGGTTTTCTGGGGTTTTTTTAGTCATTGGTCAGCTTGTTTCATGT